AGATGACAAAGCTTTACCCTGTCTTTGGCAAAGGTTGGTGACAGAGCATTGAAATTATAAAGATAGGTAAAGTTCTTCGTTTTTATTAGTCCTGTATATTTGCCTAGTACATTTGACAAACGGACAAATGATTGTGGTGTCAGTTCTTAAACAAGAATTTCTCACAACAAAAAAGAGGGCTTCCGTTGTAAAATTGGGTAGGGGTAAAGCGCGGAAACAGAATGGTGGGATTGCGGATGCGGAATGAAAGGTAAAATGCGGAATAGAGAGTAATAAATGCTGTATATGGTAAATAATTATAAATATACATAAGTATAGATTTTAAGTATGACTTGCACTTTTCTACGATTTGAAAGATGCTTTTCCCCAGCAACAAAGTGTTTTATTTTTAAACGTATGAACCGGAATTTTACAGCAAGAAAATATCTTTAATCTGGTCTTCGTTACATCCGAGTAGATATTGTAATTAGCGTTGAATGTAGTATTTATTTTTTTGACTTATACTAATAAACATACTACCCGAATAATGCATTCTCACAACGCTAGTGGCAGATTTTCGCGTTTACAACGGAGAAATGCATGTTCTAACCTCCTGTTGTCTCAAAGAACATATTCAGAATTGCATAATTATACACACATAAAGACTTTCGCGGTCAACTTAGCATCAACTTTGTTATAATAACAAATTTGGTTTGATAATAACCAATAAAGTGTTTAATGGAAGTGCGATGTTTTCAATGGTGAGAAAAGAGAGATCTAACTTGTGAATAACTGTGTTTTATTTACATGAAAAATTGGCAAGAACTTATCTTTTAAAACAGTTGATGACGTGAATGAAATGTCTAGGTAAGGTTCATCTTAAAATGGTAGAGCATGAAGAAGTAAAAGATTTGTACAAACGAGCTTTACAAATTCAAACTAAAGTATTTGGTCATCATAATGTCGATATTGCAGCAACGTGCAGCAGCCTAGGCTGGTTTTACTTTTCTAAAAAACTTTATAAAAAAGCTCAACGCCTTTACGAACGAGCTTTAGATATCCAGACAAAGGTTTTTGGTTTTAACCATGGTAACACAGGTACAACGTACAACAACTTAGGTTCAGTTCATCTCACCATGGGAGAATACGCCAAAGCAAAAGAATCGTAAGAACAGGCCTTAGAAATTCAAACTAAAGCTTTTGGTTCTGACCAGGTATATGTTGCTGCAATGTGCAACAACTTAGGTTTGGTTTACATGAAATCGGCAAAGTACAAGGAAGCAAAAGATTTGTACAAAAATGCTTTAGATATTGGTGCTAAAGCTGAAGTTATTGATATAGCTGCAACGTTCAACAACTTGGGTTGTGTTTTCATTAAATTGAAAGAATATGACAATGCAAAACATTATCTTGGACAAGCTTTAGGAGTCGAAACAAAGGCATTTCCTCCAGATCAGTTCTACAAAGTTACAGTCTTCCAAAATTTGATTTTCGTTTGCTATGCAACTGGAGAAAACGAAAAAGCAGAAGATTTGTTCAAACGAGCTTTAAAACATAGAATTGGCAAATTCTATTCGTCTGCTGAAGAAATTACCAAGGAAGTGAAGTCATGCAAATTTATCAACAGTGTCAAATTGTTGCCAGGTAAGCAGACAATCATGTATGCAGTATTTAACTATTAATGTTCAGCCCTTATCGGTAAATAAAAATTTACAATCAAAAGATTTCCAACTTTGAAAGGACATCAGTTTAACAATTTTTTTATTTAAATCCAATTAAAATTCAATCAACTCAACAAGTGACATAAGTGACATCATAATACATATTTACAACTTGAGCTATCAGGTATATTTGGGTAATATATATTCATCAGGCATGCAACATATACTTAGCGTGTATGATCGTGATTTTTGATAATCTTTTTCTCAAATATTTCTCAGTTGATTAAAAAACATTTCGTTGACATTATAAATTAAATGTATAGCTACAGACTAGCAGTTTATTAAGTGCAAAAGGACATTAGAACTTGCTTGAATTTCGAGAAACGAAATTCTTAATTCTTAAAAACTTAATTCGAGAAAGTAAATTCCTAAATCTTAACTTAATTCATTGCGTTTCTCTCGTTTTCCACTTCCCGCTTCCAATTTTCCATTTCCCACTTCCAATTTTCCATTTCCCGCCGCCATTCATTCTCTTTTTCTCTTTCAGCATTTTCCCTCGTTTTTTCATTTTCCAATGAATTTACTTTTTCTTCTAATAATTCCTTTGATGATTTAAGCTCAATAATCTCAGCTTCTGATGACGAAATGTGATCGCGCTGCTCAGTAATCTCAGCCTCTGATGACGAAATGTGATCGCGCTGCTCAGTAATCTTAGCTTGTAATGCCGAAATGTGATCTTGCATAGACTTAAATTCAGAGAAACCAAATGCTTCTACCCCATCAATTTCACTCCGTAATTCTATTGCCGTTTCAATTTGTATTGCTACACTCGACTTAATTTCCGTCATTTCCTGTGGCAATTCGCTGCAACGCCCCTCGATTTTGGCGACTTGTACTCCAAGATAGGTAGATTGTTGAATGATGTCTTGTGCTTTTTGCTTCAGAACTTCCATTGACTCTGCTCTCTCAACTTCCTCTGAATATTAAATAAATAGAATTATAACACTTCTCCCTTTATGTTATCCATTTTTATAATTTTCTATAGTGTACAATTGAATTTTAGCTAGTTCCAAATTCATCAATTTCTAAAAGTTTCCTATTTGTTTGAATTTGTCATTATGTTCAAAAATCATGAAACATGCATTAATGCAGACTTTCAAGTCAACGAATATCATTTACAAAGACGTGTTCAAAATGGATTTGAAATACTTGGAGAAATTTTAACGGAAGTTAAAACGAGCAAATTATTCCAACAAAGAACTTCTTATCAAGAATGTCATACCATAACTTATTTATTGTCAAAAAAGTCAACATTTCATTTCCTATGTTTTTGAATTGTCATGATATATTTAAACATCATCGAGATTCTTTTTCGTTATTTTCCATGTAAGAAAAATTGATTATGTATCAACTATCAGTCGTCTTGAAATTAACACCAAGTAAATTTGAAGTAAAAGAAAATGCGTTTAAAACGTCGGATTTAACTCAGATATCGTAGTTCAAATCAAAAACGTCATAATTTCTGTTAACAATTCAATGCAAATTTCGTAGCATTGACAAAAGCGGCATTTTTGTGATGGTGTTTTCATCACATATGCCAATTTAAATATCATGTGAAAATAGTCGACAATTGCCAATGAGGTTAAGAACGATATCAATAACTATTCAGACTGAAGTCCTAATGTTTCATTGTACATTAATAAATGCAGAAGCTTTCAATATTTTGTATGGAAGTAATAAAGTCTTCCATACTTTGACATGAACCGCTTTTTGTGTCTTTTTTATGTCTTTTTTCAATAATACGAGTAAAAACAGTTTGTAAAACACTAAAAAGTCTCAAACAAGATTCCCACCGAATACTTCTTTCAATGTCATTAGCCACATTGAAATATGCGTCGCCTAAAATTATTTTCCGTTTGCTCAATCTCTGTCAGCATTTTTCAATTTTAGATATAAGGGTGTCTCAAAAAGCACATCTTTGATAAAATTTACATCTGACATACAATCTGACAATCCTATAAAGAGTCGTAAACGCAGTTGAACACAATAATTTATACGTATTTAAGCTAAGTTATTTTGTATCTTATCTTTATTTCAAGCTGTTTCTTTTAGATTTATTTTTTTAGGCAAACATTTTTTGGCTTTTGCTTGCCAGCTTCTGAGCTTCAGAAGTACGACTAAAGTTCACAATAGTAACAAAGTGTCTATATTCACTGCTGCGAAAACGTACTTTGGTAGGCTGTATAATTTACAGTAGTGTTATGAAAAACTTAAATAATGAAAAAATTTCGATATTACTACAACTTTAAAAGGCTTCTTTAGTTTAGGGGCTTAGAATTGTAAATATATTCAAAAATGTACAACAGTAATTCATTTTGACTAACCCTAGATCCGCCACTGACCTCGACTGTATTTTTTTGTAAAAACGTCAAAGAAAAACACTGTCTCTATTGTCAAAAAATATGACTTTTATATCTAGATATATTGTAGAAATTATTCGTGCAAAATTTTAAAATTTTATTGTTAAGATTCCAAATATTATTCTATTCATCCAAGCAGGCCATAAGGATTGATTTGTTAAGAATGAAAATACAGAATTAAGCTGTAAATTTAAATACTATGATGGATTATGAGCTGAGTACTTCATCCGGGAAAGATAGACACAGGAGCTTTTTTCCTTAACATATCAGCGGGTGGAACAAGTTTCTGCATTCCAACATGTGATAGTAATATTAGTTAAATTCCAGAACCCTAATTTTACCAAATTCTGTCTAACCAAAAGCTGAGCTCCATCGTTTTATCTGGGGCATATATACAGTTGTTTAAACTTTGAAAAATTATGCAGGGGGCAAAAAAACACGTGGTTTTAATTTATGCTTTATAGTGGAAAAGCTGGTACACCTTAGCAAATGATTATTTATAGGACAAAATTTGAGAACTTGAGAAGTTGGTAATAAACTTTCATGAAATTATAATAACAAGAGCCGAGAAATATCAGATCTAAAAAGAAAAATCAATCGATGCAGCTTTTCTGTAGACCATATAAGTATATTAAGAGTGATAAACGAAGTTTTTCATATTTTTTACTCATGTGACGTGACGTTTAAGATATTTTATGACTACCTTTGTCGTGCATATAAAGATCTACAATGTATAAGTGATACATTTTCCACTTACAAAAACCGCAATTCTGGTAAAAACTTTACAGGCATTGCTCCAAGAGGAGATGTAATTTGATATTTGTTTCAGAACTATTTGGGGTACAAAGAAGCCTTTAGAAACCATCCTGTTGTTAAAATTTCAATTCCTGATCACTTAGCTAATTCTACAGTTACATTATTTTTTATATTTTGGTTTTAGAGGTCAAATTCCAAGGCAAACAAAGCTTATAACAAAGATATGTAATAAATGCATTTAGATGACGAAGTTTTATCCTGTCGTGGGCAAAGGTTAGTGACAGAGCATTGAAATTATAAAGATAGATAAATGCTTCGTTTTTATTAGTCCAGTATATTTTCCTAGTACATTTGACAAACGGACAAATGACTGTGGTTTCAGTCTTAAACAAGAATTTCTCACAACAAAAAAGAGGGTTTCCGTTGTAAAATTGGGTAGAGGTAAAACGCGGAAACAGAATGGCGGAATTGCGGAATCGGAATGGCGGAATCGGAATAGAAGGTAAAATGCGGAATAGAGAGTAATAAATGCTGTATATGGTAAATAATTATAAATATACATAAGTATAGATTTTAAGTGTGACTTGCACTTTCCCACTATTCGAAAGTTGCTTTTCCCCAGCAACATAGTGTTTTGTTTTTAAAAGTATGGCATCTGAATTTTACAACAGGAAAATGTCTTTGATCTAGTCTTCGTTACATCCGAGTAGATGTAATTAACGTTGAATGTAGTATTTATTTTTTGGACGTATACTAATAAACACATTACAGCATTCTCACAACGCATGTTCTAAATGCATGTTCTAACCTCCTGTTGTCTCAAAGAACATATTCAGGCTTGCATAATTATATGCACAAAGACTTTCGCGGTGAATTTAGCATCAACTTTATTATAATAACAAATTTGGTTTGATAATAAACAATAAAATGTTTAATGGAAGTGCGATGTTTTCAATGGTGAGAAAAGAGAGATCTAACTTGTGGATAACTGTGTTTTATTTACATGAAAAATTGGCAAGAACTTATCTTTTAAAACAGTTGATGACGTGAATGAAATGTCGTCCATTTAAATAAATGAACACACTTACATAACTTGGACTGGTTAAAATAATATACAACTGGTTGTGATATTTGTTGTTACTTCTCTCTAGTAACTTCTTCAAAAGAATATACATTCCAAGTATTCTGTGTCCTGCAAATAATGTTTAATTTTTTGAAGAAAAATACTTAAAGGACACATGCAAGCTAGAAGACAACTTTATTTTATTGTAATGCCTATAGCGTAAAAATAAGACGTACCAAGTTTCAAAGTCGTCCGCGAAATATTTAAAAAGATATTTAGGGTTATAATCGGTAAAAACACGATATTCGATTACCATTGCTAAAACGCCGTGAGATTGCTTAAGTCTGGGAACTGGGAAAGAGTGACGTAATAGTTGACATAAACAAGCTTCGTTCTCATATCGTTCTACGACTTGCACGCAATTCTTGCACGCCTTTCGGTAGTTTGCTATTACTGTTTTTGATTTAACAAAAATTAATGGATTCTTCTGAAGAAGAAGCCGATTTTGATATTGTCGTCAATAACAATGAGGTACAACCTTACATGTTTGAGCCTTTGGCCAACGCGGAAGGTGGTCATAGTAATGACAATTCTTCGTCATCGGAAAGCGAAGATGAATACATTCACAGAATTGGAAATGTTGAATGGTTAGTTGCATTTTATTGATGCTTCATTGTTTTTCCCAAAGTAGAAGGAATGTTTTTATCTTTTAGGTGCGAGTGTGGCTTTTGTGTGGTCATGAGTACAGGACGGGAAAGTATATGTTGCCAAGAGGTAAACAACACTGATCCTCTGATACATGGCGATCATATTTGCATCACACAAGAGGAAGCTGTCTTAAAAACAGCTATGGTCGTGTACACACATGACATTGGACCTATGCCTGAGAGTGAAGAAAACGAGTAAATATTACCTTAGAAGTGTAATTACGTGTATGTCGACAAGTATATAATGCCGATAAGTATCTTAGACAAAATTTTGTATCGTTCAGAGCATTACGCTACACGGCGTACCGACAGTGGACGGCTTGGGTGCATGGCAGGTTGGGAAAAAAGTACCGACTACCCATACCTGTGTACAAAATCGGGAAAGCATTTCCTTCGCCTTCTGGAGAATACAAAGGATTTGAATATGCTCAACACTACTGAATGGTAGGGCTTATGGCGTATGACAAAGTCTGTTCATTTTTAATTATGTTTATTTCATGTGGGACGTTATTTCTTTTTATTTATTAAAGCGAGATTTATGTTGCTTAATGGCTTCAGCTTTGCTGATTTTTGATTTGTGGTGAGTCAATGGGACAGGTATTTCTTTCACTCCAGCGACATCAAGAGCTTTGGAGAGTGTTGGATTAATGCGTCTGCAGTACAAAACTTCTTTCATCAAGTCCTTAACATATCCTGAAAAGCAAATCATTATTTATGTTGGCTTTGCATTGCACTTTGAGAAAAGGTAAGTTTATTTTTCTATGCTAACCATAAGTGCTGTCAACTTTCACTGGTTTGATGACACCTTGTCCTTCTTTCGACTTTGAATAAGCCACTCTCCAAATCAATGCCTCTTCTGTTTGCCCATCATTTTTCGTTTTCTGAGGTTTATTTCCATTCTCATTGAAATGAAGAGCAGCAATAAACAATCTACAAATGAATGTTAAGTTTATGTTTACAACTATTGCAACTTATTGCTTTTGCAATGACTTTTTTAAGTAATCATACACTAGTCATAAATATATTACCTTGCTTCCATTGATCTGTAGAAAAAATGAGTATGTTTTATGCAAAAGAATCACCACTCGGTGGAAACCTTCGATGGATGAAGTCTGCTTCTGATAACTGAGTTTTCCAAATCTCTCATGAGATACTTGGACTCAACAATCGAAGACAGCTCAACATAAGCTTTTGAACCTAAGATCAGAAGTTAGTTAACAAAAGAAAAGAATGTTGATGTTACTTTGAAATTTATTTGCTTACAATACCTTTTTTATCCACATTCTAGGCTCTAACATATCATGTTCACATTTTGGGAATACATCACTATGTCCCTCATGGATGTCACATATATGATTGAGAACTGACAACCACTTTGCCTTGACAAGTTCTTCATCACCATTGCTGGAAGCAGCACACCAGTATACATGGTTGGAAATTGATTGGGCCCAATTCGACAATAATTTGCAACCACTTTTTTTTGATGCTGCTAAAATTTTCTTTTTGATTCCTGTTGGATTTTGATTGTTGATGAAATGTGCAAAAGGTTGGTTTGTTATGACAATCTATACCTTTTGCTACATGCCATACATCAAAGTAGTGCTCGATTTTTGGTCTTTGTTTTGACATGTAGGATTATATAGCTTAGTTTTTGATAAATGTAAACAAATATTGCTGACTATAACTATAATATTCACCTTTTGCCTTCGTCTCTTCTCAAATGCAGTTCTAACATTTGTTGGCTGCTTCCTTTTAGATGCTAAACTTGTGGGTTCCAAAGAGTATTCAAAAATCGTGGGTACAGCATCCTTCTTAAGGCGAAGCCGTCCTGCTGTCCATCCTACTGATTGCATCGCTTCAAAATTTTGCACGAAGCACGAACTCTCGAAATGTTGCGAGCACAATTTTGAGCTCTTTGTTGGCTTCCAATTTTTGCGTCGGATTTTTTCAATCCAAATATCTCGCATACGCTTGTTTTCGGGAAACGAAAAAAAAGAAACCTTTTGCTGCGTTTCGTGGTTCTTAGAAGAACCGTTTTTACAATTAAATGCGGCACAATAAACCATATTTTCAATGCTAAATTGTCGTGTTGTTAAGAAGTTACCAATATATTTTGAACGAATCGCGCAATTGACCGCGTTAAGCGAATGTCAACTCTTACGTCACAACGACATCGGTAGCTGTCGCTAGCTCGTCGGGTATTTTCAATACGTTATCAGTAAAGCATCAACTTTAAACCTCCATATCTTCAAAAATATTTATCCCTTGAGTCTCAAACTTTGGTGAACTTTTAGTTGGAGCTATACCTTCATGTAAAGTACAAAAATAACAATCCGAATTTTATGTTGCACGTGTCCTTTAACGCATTGTAAGTATCTGAAAATAATTAATTGTATTTCCTGCTCATATATTTGATTCGTATATCGTGTGAGTATTTGCTGTAATTTGAGATCATGTAAATTCGCACAAAAAATATTTGTAAATTGTAAAAGACTGGAAAGCGAAATTTGCTCATTTGCTTTCTGCCGTGAGCGAAATGAATCTACCAATAAATAATTTACGGTAAATACACTAATCTGATTAAATACAAGTATACTGCTCTTACTAAGTTTAAGTTTTTCGTACCGTATGCACGACCGAAATATAATTGAAAATGGTGATTGCCTGCTAAGCTTGCATTTGTCTTGTCTCCTGAGCTTTTTAGTTATGACTATTTTCATGACTTATTTACAGGCATTGCTCCAAGAAGAGATGTAATTTGATATTTGTTTCAGAACTATTTGGGGTACAAAGAAGCCTTTAGAAACCATTTTTGCCTTTAGACCGGAATTTTGCAACAGGAAAATCTCTTTAATCTCGTCTTCGTTACATCGAAGTAGATATTGTAATTAACGTTGAATGTAGCATTTATTTTTTTGACGTATACTAATAAGCAAATTACTCGAATAATGCATTCTCACAATGCTAGTGGCAGATTTTTGCGTTTACAACGGAGAAATGCATGCTCTAACCTCCTGTTGACAATTCTATAAAGAGCGTAAACGCATTTAACGTTTAACACAATAAATTATACGTATTTAAGCTAAGTTATTTTGTATCTTATCTTTATTTCAAGCTGTTTCTTTTAGATTTATTTTTTTAGGCAAACATTTTTTGGCTTTTGCTTGCCAGCTTCTGAGCTTCAGAAGTACGACTAAAGTTCACAATAGTTCTCATTTTCGACATTTTTTAACAAAGTGTCTATATTCACTGCTGCGAAAACGGACTTTGGTAGGCTGTATAATTTACACTAGTGTTATGAAAAACTTAAATAATGAAAAAATTTCGATATTACTACAAATTTAAAAGGCTTCTGTAGTTTAGTGTAAGTGTTATGAAACTAACTTCCGCCATCATATTTTGTTAAAAATGATAAATATTTATTTCTTTATAAAATGAACTTTATCTTTAATTTTTTTTCAATAAAACAATATAGCTAGGAAAAAATCTCTTTATGAGAAAATATTCTGTATTTCATTTATTACTTGTGTACTTCTGTATTTGTGTATTATACACTTGTGAATTTCATATATTATTTGCCACTGGCGTTATACATACTATGGTATAAAGTATTAAACACAAGCAATAAAAGTACAAATTAACCAACCTTAATAATTTTAAAATTTGGACTTTCTTCTTTTATTTTCTTATTTGGGTGCAGAACACGCGGACTCAAGTCTAGTGATCTTGATTTGACAAACCTCTTTTGGAAAATGAAACTGCCCAATATTCTCATTCCAATTTTCCCACGTCGTTACAGATGGTTGGTTCAATGATTTTACATATTTCATCAAAAATTCTAACAACAGCGGAGCGCAATATTTTTAATGTTAACTTAAATGAAGTTTAATGAAAGAGCAATTATGTACACCATTTTAAAGTGAATAGTTTGAGCCCGGACTGTCATAATATGTTTGGAGATGTCCTTTAGAAAAGGTTAACCCAACTTCAGCACTTTGGTATGTGTTAAACTCTAAATTAAATAAATGGTTTGAGCCCGGGAGTATCGTTACATGTTTGTAAATGATGAACGTCCAGGTTAATAAAGTACTGAGAAGGACTGTTTTTGTTGTTGTTGACTGACGTTTCGACAACCTTAGCGGTAGTCATCTTCAGAGTCAATTGAGGAGTAAACGTCAGGTTAGCCGTATTTGTTATCTGGTCCATTCGTCATTGTATTGTGTGTACAGGAAATGTATATTGTCATTGTGAATTAGTGTGAAGTTAAATATTTTATTTTTAGTTGTGATGTGTGATTTAGGTGAATTGTTTTTAGTTGTAATATGTGGGTGTCAGTTGTGTATTGTCATTGTGAATTAGTGTGAAGTGTAATGTTTTTAGTTGATCGTTTGTTTGTATTGTGAATAAGTCGTTTGTAAGGTGCCGGTAATTGCTGTGATCTGTTCAGGTGGGTTTGTTCCAAGTTGGTATACCAACTTTTTAATGTAAGCCGTTGTCTATAGTCAGTGCTGTAAGTAATGCATTTTGCCGAGTCCCAGTCAATGTTGTGCTTTGTGATTCGGTGATGTTCGGCAATGTGATTAGTTTTGTCTTGTTTCTTAGTAGCTCGTTTGTGTTGAGTAAGTCTTATGTTTAAGTTCCTGGCAGTTTCTCTGATATAGGAGGCGTGGCAGTCGGAGCAGTTGAACCCAACGAAACGAACAACTCAGTGGACAACAGCAACGATACCTTACATCAAAGGTACGTCTGAGACTATCTTGCGTATCTTACGACCATACAACATACCTGTCGCACATAAACCAATCACAACGTTACGACAAGTACTAGCAAACATAAAGGACAAAGAAAAACCCAACGAACGACAAGGTGCAATTTACAAAATAAACTGCTCCGACTGCCACGCCTCCCATATCGGGGAAACTGCCAGGAACTTAAACATAAAACTTACTGAACACAAACGAGCTACTAAGAAACAAGACAAAACTAATCACATTGCCAAACATCACCAAATCACAAAGCACAACATTGACTGGGACTCGGCAAAATGCATTACTTACAGCACTGACTATAGACAACGGCTTATATTAAAAAGTTGGTATACCAACTTGGAACAAACCCACCTGAACAGATCACAGCAATTACCGGCACCTTACAAACGACTTATTCACAATACAAACAAACGATCAACTAAAAACATTACACTTCACACTAATTCACAATGACAATACACATTTCCTGTACACACAATACAATGACGTAAGAACCAGATAACAAAAACGGCTTACCTGACGTTTACTCCTCATTTGACTCTGAAGATGACTACCGCTAAGGTTGTCGAAACGTCAGTCAACAACAACAAAAACAGTCCTTCTCAGGACTTTATTAACCTGGACGTTCATCATTTACAAACATGTAACGATACTCCCGGGCTCAAACCATTTATTTAATTTAGAGTTTAACACATACCAAAGTGCTGAAGTTGGGTTAACCTTTTCTAAAGGACATCTCCAAACATATTATGACAGTCCGGGCTCAAACTATTCACTTTAAAATGGTGTACATAATTGCTCTTTCATTACACTTCATTTAAGTTAACATTAAGAACATTGCGCTCCCCTGTTGTTAGAATTTTTGATGAAATATGTAGAATCATTGAGCCAACCATCTGTAACGACGTGGGGAGAATGGAATGAGAATATTGCGCTGTTTCATTTTCCAAAGGAGGTTTGTCAAATCAAGATCACTAGACTTGAGTCCGCGTGTTCTGCACCCAAATAAGAAAATAAAAGAAGAAAGTCCAAATTTTAAGATTATTAAGGTTGGTTAATACGTACTTTTATTGCTTGTGTTTAATACTTTATACCATAGTATGTATAACGCCAGTGGCAAATAATATATGAAAGTCACAAGTGTATAATACACAAATACAGAAGTACACAAGTAATAAATGAAATACAGAATATTTTCTCATAAAGAGATTTTTTCCTAGCTATATTGTTCTATTGAAAAAAAATTAAAGATAAAGTTCATTTTATAAAGAAATAAATATTTATCATTTTTAACAAAATATGATGGCGGAAGTTACTTTCATAACACTTACACTAAACTACAGAAGCCTTTTAAATCTGTAGTAATATCGAAATTTTTTCATTATTTAAGTTTTTCATAACACTAGTGTAAATTATACAGCCTACCAAAGTACGTTTTCGCAGCAGTGAATATAGACACTTTGTTACTATTATGAACTTTAGTCGTACTTCTGAAGCTCAGATGCTGGCAAGCAAAAGCCAAAAAATGTTTGCCTAAAAAAATAAATCTAAAACAAACAGCTTGAAATAAAGATAACATACAAAATAACTTAGCTTAAATACGTATAAATTAAGATGTTAAACGTTAAATGCGTTTACGCTCTTTATAGGATTGTCAACAGGAGGTTAGAACATGCATTTCTCCGTTGTAAACGCAAAAATCTGCCACTAGCGTTGTGAGAATGCATTATTCGGGTAATTTGCTTATTAGTATATGTCAAAAAAATAAATGCTACATTCAACGTTAATTGCAATATCTACTTCGATGTAACGAAGACGAGATTAAAGAGATTTTCCTGTTGCAAAATTCCGGTCTAAAGGCAAAAATGGTTTCTAAAGGCTTCTTTGTACCCCAAATAGTTCTGAAACAAATATCAAATTACATCTCTTCTTGGAGCAATGCCTGTAAATAAGTTATGAAAATAGTCATAACTAAAAAGCTCAGGTTACAAGACAAATGTAAGCTAAGCAGGCAATCACCATTTTCAATTATATTTCGTTCGTGCATACTTTATGAAAAACTTAAACTTAGTAAGAGCAGTATACTTGTATTTAATCAGATTAGTGTATTTACCGTAAATTATTTATTGGTTGATTCATTTGGCTCACGGCAGAAAGCAAATGAGCAAATTTCGCTTTCCAGTCTTTTACAATTTACAAATATTTTTTGTGCGAATTTACATGATCTCAAATTACAGCAAATACTCACACAATATACGAATCAAATATATGAGCAGGAAATACAATTAATTATTTTCAGATACTTACAATGCGTTAAGTATTTTTCTTCAAAAAATTAAACATTATTTGCAGGACACAGAATACTTGGAATG